TACTTACACAGATCACTAACAGTGCTCTGTAATACTGTTCACTAACACTAATAATTTTTTTTGCCAACACTGTATATAACACTGTTAACTAACACTTTTTGCCAGCACTGTTTGCGCGGCTACTGCAAACACTTGTCAAATATTAATGTACTTTAACCGTCCGTAAAATAAACAAATTTAACGCACAAATAAAAAAAAACAATCTTTAGTTGAACTTAGACTCTTAAAGTGACCTAGAAACAAAGTTAGGGAAAAAAGCCGAAGCCTAAATCATGTTTGACAAACAAATTAGCAAAAACATTTAAGTAAGAGCGATTAGCCAGCTGTTAAACTGTCACAAGCTGTCATCGAGCTTGAACTTGAACAAAAAATTGAATAATGCATATTTAAGTGAGTGTCAAGCTAAGTAAAAGTAAGAGTTATCTGCATAATGAAATATAATTTGTTGTCGATTGGTTATTTATGACCGAAAAGCAGGCCTCGGGCCACGGCTTCAATAATTAAAAAGCTGATTCAAACAAATCAAATTTGACAGCATATTTAAGTGTTTGTCAAGCTGAGAAATATTGAAGATAAATAAAATTAATATAAATCGCAGCAAATTTACATGTTCGAGTTATATGAATAATGTTTGAAATTTAAAATATAGAAGATTAATAAATTATAGATAAATCAATCAATTATAGATAAATCATTGTCACGCCAAGAGTTTTTAGATTTGAATAGATTAAATATATTTTTAGAAATTATTCTATTTTAAAAATGTCAAATATTTAACATTAGGTCTAACTAGCAGTTGAGCTTGGACATAACAGAGAATTTAATCTGACACTTTAAAGCTTAAGAAAAGTTTTAAATATATTCATATAATATTTATGTCACATCTTCAAATACATAAAACCCTTAGTCATATTTTGAATAATCTCCATAAAATATTGGAAAACAATCATAAAACTCCTACTCCCTGCCCTGACAATGGCACAACAAACACTTGAGTTTTATCCAAGCAAACAACATAAAAATTTTCAAACAACAAGCGAAGTCGAGTTGGGCTCAGTGAAAACAAACCACTGAACCACCCGACGCACGCACACCCGGCCCTTGTCCGCTGGGGGTCAACAGGGCTGACTGTACGGAGGTCACTCGATAAAAAGGGACATAAAAAAATATATAAAATCAGCGTAACATGGCAAGATTTCTAGTTGGATGACTAAATGATGATATGTATATATATATATATATATATAAATATATATGTATGTATATAAATAAATATCGTTAAAATAGACAGCTGGCTGGGCACTATTGCTGTCTCGCTTGCTCGCTCTTCTGCTGCTGCTGCTGCTGCGCAGGCGCACAGCGTGCCATAAAAACACTTGAGGCTAATTTCGCTTTGGCTTGTTCAGCATTTGCCAATGGCCAATGGCAGATTTTTTAATTAAGCCAGCAACATGATTGTTAATAGCAGCAACAACAACAGCAGTAAATTGTCGCTTTAAAAAAAAGCTGTTGGCAAGCAATTTGTTGTGCATTGAATGAATAAGTGAGTGAGTGCCTGAACGAGTGTTTGACTCAAAGAGTGAGCAAATGAATAACTGAACGAATGACAATTCACAGTTGCTGCTGTTGTTGTTGCTTCTGTTGTTTCTGGTGCGTCCAGTGCACACGCATATTGAATTTCCAGAGAACATGTTTTTAATTTTCATGCCAGAATAATTTTGAATGGCGGAAAAACGTTTGGACAACAAAAAAAAAAACATAAAAGGCAAACGAAAAACAAGCGAGTGCAGCAGTTGGCAATGACTGACTAGAGGATGCCCTGTAGAGACAGAGAAACAGAAGGCCAAAGTGACAGTCAGAGTTAAAGGCAGAGAACGAGAGAGAGCGAGTTAGAGCGAGATTAGAGGAGGATAGACATAGAAACAGATTAATCAAGAGGCAGTCACAGCTTGCAGTAGACCGAGCCAGACAGAAAGACAGAGAGAAAGGCACAGACTGAGGCAGACACAGAGGGAGAGGCACATAGAAACATAGGAACAGAGATTCCGAGAGGCAGAGGTAGAGCACAGCAGAGTGAAACAGAGAGACAGGGAGATAGAGACAAGAAGACAAAGAGCCAGAAGCAGTGAGGCAAAAACAAAAGACAGAGAGAGAGAGAGAGACCGGGAGATAGGCACTCAGAGAGATAGAGACCCAGAGGACAGAGATACAGAGAGGTTCACTCATCACACGGGTCAGCAAACTGAAGCAGAGTAAAAAAACAAACACAGAAACAGTTCTCAGAGAGAGGAAGATGTTTCCTTCCGGAAATGTTTCCTTGTCTCAGTTACGCAAACTTCCCCAAGCAGTCATAATACCCTATATTTCACACACATTCATGCTACACAGGGTATCGCCGCATTGTTGTTGCTTTTTTTTCCTTTTCGCCACTGTGAAAATAGCCAATGGCCAGTGGAGCTCGAACCCCGGACAGCTAACAAGCTGTGGCATTGACCATGCGGACCCCCCGTCCCCAATGGCACTTGAAGCACAGGTGAGCTGGTGAGCAGGTGAGCAGCAGCTGCTGCTGTTGCATTGCATTTTGGAACTGTTGTTGTTGTTTATTTTTGAAAGGTTATTTGAAATTGGCTAAATGATTGGCAAAACAGCAGGAAAGCCAAATTAATTGCTGCTATGCAGTGTTACAAGAGTTCACAGTGGATTAGCATAAACGAGCCGCGACACAAACAATTGTGACTAAACTTAATGAAGTTTTTTTTAAACTAGAATCCGAAGAAAAATGTTTATGATAAAAGTTATGTAATGCTAGAAGATATAGTTGCATAAAATATGAATTGAATGATAATGGGTTTAGAAAGGCTTTAAGAATCAGAAGTGAGGGGCGGATCGAATATATATCATTGATTTAGGAACTATTAGATATCATTTATAGCATTATACGTATCAGTATCATATTATAATGTACATAAAATAAATATAGATATTTTATATCATTTTTAAAAAAATTTTTTTTTAGAATATCAGCTAAAAGTTTTCCAAAAATCAAATTCTTAATATTTGAATGTCGAACTTAGAGAAGTATATATAAAAATTAAAAACATTAGCCAATAAGCAGCTGTTTGACTACCTTAGCCATTGGCTGATGTCAGGTATATAACTCTTAACACTCTTTCGATCGCAGTACCATAAATCTCTGATGCTTTGATCTATTCGGGAACGCCCCTCGACTGTCAACCCTTGTGGCATGCACCACGCACAAGCACTCAACCACTTGAAAAGTGAATGCACTGGCAATAAATCTTCAAAAAAGACAACGAAAAAATTTGTCACTTTCACCACGAAACAACTCAGAAAAAACAATTGATAAATGCGTTAAATTCTATACAAAAAAACCCAAAAAAAAAAAAACAAAAAACAATGTATATATGACAATATATATGGGCGCTGAGTTTTACGCTAAATTGCTTAAGGACAAAGGAGTAAAAAGGAGTAGAGGCAACCGGCAGGCTTTCAGCTTAATCCTTTTTGTAAAAACAACCCAATGAAATTGCCACTCAAAAGGTGAAAATTGACGAAAAACAAAAAGCAAAAAAATATATATCCTTTAGCTGGCCAGGACCAACCGCTGCTGGCCGCCTGCTGAGCGCACGCGTTGACTTATTGGCAGCTGCGCAGTCGCCGTAGTCGCTGACCAGGCGCCGGCCTGCGGTTGCTGGACAAATTGAAATAGCAAAATCATTTCGAGCGACGCGGAAAATTGCATTTAATTACAAGACCAAACAAATGCGTTTAAAAATTTTTCAAATCAACCAAGTTCAGTTTTTCGAAAAATTCACGCCTCGCTACACAAAAGCGCTGTAAATTATATATTGTTAGTCGCTGGCCAGCGGTCAGTTGCAAGGTTTTTAGGGGCGAGAAACAATTGCGCACAATCAAACACGACAGGATATCTCTGCTAGCTGACCCTCTCCCCTTCTGCGACTGCCTCTGCTTCTACCTCTAGCTAGTCATGTAATTTTATTAGTCCTGCGCTCATCGATTATTTGCTTAGGATGCAGCTAGCGTTGTTATAGTTAAGGGCAATAGTTACATGTACATGGCCAGTTACATGACAGCCCATAATAATAAATATTGTCAACTAAATTATGAAACAACCCCCAACCCTTAACTCATGCCAAAGCAGGCAGTTGATAGAGCTCAATAGCAGGGTTCAACTGAGAGATAACACATTTACAGCTTCTTGTTCGAAATCCAATGTTTCGATTTTAGCTAGTATTAACATAAAGTAAAGTTAATTGAAGATTTGATCTATTTCGTTTATAAAGCTTAAACTAGCTTCGCTGCTGAGCTCGTTGTTTTATATACTTAGTGATATACAAACAACAAACAACTAAATTTAATAATAATTTAAACAGTTTTTCACAATAATAACTTATTTGAATAGCACAAAAGATTTCTTTCTATTTATACTAACGCACTTTACAATATTTGAATTCAAATCATATTAACGGACTCATTTCAAAACATCTGGCAGCATTACTTTTGGTGTAAAAAAATTCAACTTTAGTTATTTAAATATAAACTAATAGAAATGCTTGAAATATATAAGTGCATGCACCAAATTAATATATAAGTGTGCAAGTAATATATTAATACATTATTTATTTAATGCTGCAAATCATATAATCTCAAATAAAATTCAAGTCATGCCATTCAAAAGGCTGCCATACTGTTTAATAAAGGTTCAACTGAAATCAGAGACTGCCACTAGATGGAGCTATGACAGTGAATATAATGTGATATCGATAAGTCGATAGCTATCAATGACATATGCAATTGCAAATAAACTAAAAAACTTTAATTTAAGTATTTATTTAATAGGCAATAATAACATTACTATCAGCTCAGCTATCACATATATTACATATATACGCAAAACTGAACAATATTAGGATCGATAACGCTGTGCTTCAATTGTAACACTAGAATATTCATGTCAAAGAACTTGTCACTAGTAACGGGTATGTTCATGAGCTCTCATCTCTAAAACGTAACTAAATTTCAGTAACAAACTTGTAAAGGTTTTAACAAAAATGGCCTGCAAACAATTGATGAATCGCGCTTCCTCACTTGGGCGCTGCAGCCAGAACAAGCTTATGCCTCTGGCTAGCATGCGGTGGTCCAGCACACGCAGCGACATCGAGAAAGTCACACACACAGGCCAGGCGAGTGCCACAGCGCTCAGCTGTTCAATTTACGCGATTACGCAAACAAAATTGTTATTAATTCGTTATTTGATTTAATAATATTGTGTTTTTATAGATATTTGACAAAGACGACTATCGTAATGTGCGCTTCACAAATGCCAAGCGCTATGTGAACGAAAACTGGGGCATCAAGCTGATCGATGAGATTCCACCCAAAGAGTGCGAAGAGCGCGTTGTTTACTGCGACGGAGGCAACGGTCCGCTCGGACATCCAAAAGTCTATATTAATCTGGTAAGTAGAGGACATTAGTGTAAACTCAAACCGTTATATATATATATATATATAATTCTATTTATTCAAGGATAAGCCCGGCAATCACACCTGCGGCTACTGCGGCCTGCGTTTCGTGAAGAAGGAGCATCATTAAAATCGATCTTTGGATCTTAAAGAACGCTCTTGTTACTAGTTGAATATACATAAATATAAAAAAGAAACAACTTATAAAGATCAAGTTAATTGACGGAACAAAAACTTACATGTTTACCGTAAAGACATATTGGCATATTGGCAGAGTTATATAAATCAACTCTCTTGAGGATAAGTAAGACATAGATATCTGAATAAAACCAATTGGAAAAGATATTCTGCTAAACTTTAGCTCTTATTAGACCTTTATATACCTGCTTAAGAGTTTATTTTTTATAAAATCTCTTTGTTTTAGAAATCTTCAGAACGAAACTAAGAGAAAAGTTTTATCTGTATTGATCTTAAATTCCATAATAAGAACTTAGTGGAAGCAGAGTTCTTAGTCTAAACATATTCAACATATAAGCAGTGTCCTATGTAAATCTGTCTAATATATCATATGGCGCTTATCGAAAATCTTGCTACAGATTCTTTTCATAAAATGTTGCAATATGCTAAAATCGAAGATCACCACAAAATTAAAAATTGAATAGACGTAATCCGCGAAATCTCAATAATTGTGAACGGGTTTGTAGGAATGGATTTTACAAATATGTAAACAGAAACAAAGGGAATTACTAAAGAAAATCGTTTCACTATATTATATAAAGGGATAGGTCTATAATGCGTCCGGCATTTGCTAACTTTCTATCTTTCATCTTTACGTCAAGAACTTTGCAGACTACCCTCGCAGATTTAAATAAAAATTAAAATTTAATTTAATTCTCTAAAATCAACATAAATTCTATTTACATATTATATCTTGAACTTTAGGAATATTATTATCTTGAGGCGCCCCTTATAAAAGCAATCGTAATTATCAAAATAAATAAAGCGAACCAGCTGCCATATGAGATATATATATATATAAATGCCAACTAAATGATATTTATATATACAAACACGTAGTCATATATATTTATAATCGATGGCATATGGAATGAAACGATCCTTAGATTGTTGCTTTATTTTTATTGCACAACACTTTTTATTCACTTGCATTTTGCTTGAATGATATCTAATACAATGTTAAATGTATGCGTTATAGCATTATGGTCTATTTGTAGCATGGAAATTAACAACTAAAAGATATATGTATATATACATATATGTATAGATATAAATATATGTATGCAAAACAATCAAAAAAAGGGAAAATAATATAAATGTATATATAAACTATATAAGAACTGATCCGTTCATACCATAACATATTGGGAGTGCAAATATATATAGATATATAGTAAGTATATCAAAAACAAAATCAAATGTATATATATAGATCATAATTATGCTTGTATACGATAATTGTTTTTCATATGCCTTTGCGAGACTTTTGTTGTTTTTTTTTTTTTTTGCTTTTTTACTACGGGCACTTTAGATGCTGCACGCTCCATTGAGACACAGATAGTACCACGAAGAGAATACAAATACAAAATAAATCGAGTGGGCCACCTAGGCCCCACCATGCGCCATGGCCCGACCGCGGCGAGTCAAGCCCAACTGGCCTAAACTGAAAAGAATCATGTTCACACAGCTGCAGCAATGCGACCTGCACAAGGAGGCGTTGCCTACTCAGCGCCTGGAGTGTGTAGACTCCCAGCAGCAGTGTGCTCTGGAACTGAAGTGTGTGTGTGTGTGTGTGTGTGTGTACGTGTGTGGGGCGCACTTAGAGGCACTGCTCACTCACACACACGCAAGACAGCGATGTGTGCGCTGTTTGCTCAAATAATCATCAATGGTCAATAATCGTCGTCATCTGTTGTCTCAATTGCGTTTCATCTAAAACACCAATAAACACTTAAGAGAATGTAAACTAAAATGTAATAGGTTCTAATTTGGATGTTGTGTGGGACTATGTTGCCGACGAATCGCTTTAGCTTATATTCATACTGTTGCTGCTGCTGCTGCTGACGTTGGAGTAGTAGCAGCAATGTTCGCTTATCTTGATTGGGGCAATAGTTGTTCACCACTGGTCACCAGAGGTTCCGTGGCATGGCGTAGCCTTCTTTTGTCACAAATATATTGCGACTCAAGTACGCCTTACGGTCCCCGCCAGCGGCTACCATCGACCCAGCATTGCCTGCCGCAGTGCCCTCCTGTTTGACGGTCGTCTCCTTGCGACCATCTACTACGCGTGTTACAGTGGTTGTCTTTTGACCGCTTGAGTCTTGGGTCACCTTGGTGGTCTCATAGCTGCCATCGGGCTTGCGCACCGTCTTGGTCATGACGCTCTGGCTGAACATCTTCGGGCCCTGGTAAGTGCCATCGAACACACCGCCAAATGGTGTCATTGGCGTCATGATGTTCGGCTTGCCATTCGGCGGCGGACGCGACGGTAGCAGCACAGCCGGCTTCATTTCGCCATCGGCATTGAGGGTACCGTGAATGCGACCCATGATGATCTCTTCGTCGGACAGCTTAAGACGTGGAGCGGTCTTGCGCAAGCCACGCTGATTAGAGCGCAAAATGTTTTCGTGGCCTTCCTCTGGATTCAAGCGCTGTATCAGTGAATACAATTGATCGGGATAGATTCTGGAAACAGTAAAGAAAATATAAATATTTGAAATCCAGTCTATATATCAAGCACCTACTCTCCATCCAAATCGGTGTCCAGCGAGTTGTCTTTTTTTTGAAATTCTTTAAGTATCTTGCTTTCAAAACCCGGCTTCAAGAAATCCTCCTTCAAGTTTCGCTCCAGCCCAGCGTCTATTTGGTAATGGAAGTTTTAGAGATTGTGGCAAATTGGATTCGCTGGAAACTCACCATCATCTTGGACAGACTCCAGTAGACGCTGCAGCTGACGCTCGAAATGCTTCTGCATCTCCAATGGACTCGTAAAAACCTGAAAAGCAAACTTGCGATCATCATCGAAGAGTTCGTCGTCCGTTTCAGCCTCCTCGAACCATTGGGGCTTGCGGAACTCATCCTTGTTGGAGGCGGATGCGGAAGCACTGCAAAAGCGTAGGCGGCTTAATGAAAACGCAAACTTATGTGCATACGCACACACGCACATAAAGAGTTATGACACACACACACACATGCACAGATGCACACATATATAGACTGCAATAGCAACCCCAGCAAAGCCTGCAGGAAGTTCACTTCAATACGCAGCCTCCGCACAACACACACACACACACTCTCATGCAAACACACACACACTTGCACTAAAATACAGGCCGTGCACACATTTGCGCCTGTGTGGTATCCTGGTAAAAAGTGTATCTATTATAGCAGGTGCCTGGTTTATCGATCCATTTCATTGAAAAAAAGCCGCAATTGACGCAAAAAGAAAGAAACTTACTCTGGCTCCTGCTGCTGCTCGAATTCCGATTGGAACATTTTCTTCAGTATGTCCATAGCGCGTTCTTGTTATTTTGCTTCTATTTAATCAGCTACTAGAAAATGCTCGGTGGTGATCCTTTTTATGAGAAGTCGGAAACGCAAATTTATAAATTTGACGTAGAGAAAGAAAAAACTAAAAGAACCAAAATGACGCAAATAACAATAGTCTTAGCAAACTTGTTAAATATATATTTTATAGTTTTTGCAGTTTTTCTTCCTATTTTCGTTGTTGTGTGCACACGATTTTTCAAGTATCCCCTAAACACCACCACGACGAACAGAAATTGCTCGATTAGTGAACAGCTGAGCGGAGCAGTAGCGGTGAGCGTTTCGTTTCAACTGTCACACAACACACGCACAGTGTTGTGTTGCGTCACGAAATGGAAACGAAACACGCGCCGCATTTATTTGTACATACTGGGATCAGAACATGGCGGGCTCATTTGAAATGCTCTTGAAATTTTGGCTAGGTAAAAAAAAGTGAAAACTATATTAGATTTGGTTATAATAATTTATTCAACTTTTTGCTCTAAATCTAACTTGTTTGTTTAATACTTAGAAAATGTGATACAAGACGCATAGAAACACTGACAAATTGCTTATGCATAGATTTTTCCTCTAATGTTTCCAATTTGAAAGCTTCGCGGTTTCTATTTGTACTCTTGCAGGCTGTTTGTTTATACGGATTTGTTAGTTGGTATTTGATTTACAGGTTCTGTTTAAACCGCAAATACAAACTGCGAGATCTTCCTTTGTATTCATTTGTACACATTATAAAGTTGCTGTTGCTTTTCCTTCTTTTCTAGGGTTATTTCTTGAACTTAGCAGACAGTTACTCTGTGTTTTTGGTACTAGATGGGTGCCCCTCTTAGACTTACATAAACTATTTAAAAGTAACTTAGACCCTAAATCATATTCTCCTTATCGCCGATGCTGCAGCGTTTGCCCTTCTGAATTTTCATCATTTTGTTTTCATCAGCGCATTTTGTGGTGATCGCATTGCGAACCTCCTTTTCGCTAGCATTCGACTTGTGTGTCACCGCAAATATGATGTCCTGAATCTTAAGCGGATCGAGCATTTGCTTCAGCGGCTTCTGTTGATCCTTGAATGCCGGCGATGGCTTCCCGGTCATCGAGTGCGTGGCTAGGGTTTCGCGATCGAAAATCGCCACCAACAATTTGCGTGTGGCCAACGAGGAGACGGACCAATTGATATTCTCAAATACACTGGCTGGCACACAGGTGTTGTTTGGCCCAATGGAGACCATGACATTGTCCGCTATCTGTTGTCCCACCTTGATTTCCGGCTTCCAGTCGTCCGCGCATGCCTTGCCGTTGTTATTGCCATTGCTTTTGCGCGTTGGCAGCTTGTATTGTATATTGTGCAGTTGTTGCTGCTGCAGCGGCTGGGTCTGTGGTGCAGCCATGTTGTGTTCTTGTAGCTCCAACTTGCGGCGCTTGATCAGCTGCAGCGGTGTCGAGGCTTCGCGTTTGATCTGATGCTGCTGCAGTTGCTGCTCATCGTTGCCCAAGCAAATCTCCAGACGATCCGAGTCAGCAGAGGTACTCAGGCTGTTCAAGCTCTCAGCGGCCAAGCGTATCTCAATGGCATCCGCATCGTTGCAATCGGCGCCTGCGGACGCTATTATCTTATAGTCAATAACCTCGCTGCGCTGCGGCTGTGCCGAGGTTGGTGCACAGATCACCGAGCTGGGCGGCGTCAGTATCTGTGGCTGGTGCGTGGGCGGCGAGGCAGCCGTGGCCGTGGCATGTTGCATGCGCGCCGATGTCGCATGTATTTGAGAAAGCAAATCCGTGTGCTCCTGGAGCTTGCTCTCCAGATAGCGCACTTTTTCGCGCAGCGCACGATTCTCGGCCTCCACATGGGGATCGTTGGCAAGCGTGCGTAACAGACCAAAGTCTTCGCTTGTCGTCTGTGTCCATGCCGTGAGCAGCATCGGCTGATCTGGTCTGCCGTTCCAATGCGAATCGTCGCGCACATTTATAAAATTCGACCCGTTTGCAGGCAGTATCTAAATAGCAGAATTATTTTGGAAAAAATGAGTATTATGCAGAATTGGATTGTTCCATGGAAACTTACATGTGGATCCATTTTGACGATCCTGTTTGCTGTCCTGCGTTGTGCGCGTCTTGCAGGATGAGCGTCAACTGTGCGAAGAGCTATACAAAACCCAACGAAATTGGCGGCAGAATATCAAACAACGCGCGAAAAAAAAACCAAATGCATGCACATCCACAGAGAGCGAGAGAGAGTGAGAGAGACACAGAGGGGTAGTTTATACTATTTAGCAAAAGCAACAGCAACAACAGGCAGAAGAACAGCAACAAACACAATGCATTCCAACTACTTACACATTCTACCTGGAACACCAATACAACCGTAGATTATAAATGTGTGTGTCCGAGTACTGCTTGCTTTCTAGTAGTAGTGTTTCAGGTATTCGTTAGTGTTTGTGGGTATTTACTCTTTGGAATGGGACTTTCTATTCTATATCCCAACTGGCGTGCGAGCAAGTTTCATTTTTGATCCTTTTTCTCTTCTTCTATATTTTATGCCTGCCTGCACCACGCTATATGCATTCTGCTCGCGCGGGAACAAGAATTGTATTTTTAAAGGCAAACAGAGTTGCCAGCTTTCGCGTTTTGACTAATGGCTGTGTTTCCACTAGAAATTAGCAGTACATTAATGTACAACCATTATGATTCTAATTGCATATTGTAATACATTATATTAATATATTATGTATCTTAACAAAAGTAATAACTAAAGAAGTGTCTTTTCCAAACCGGTTTTTTGATCGAGTGCAATGGGACCAGTTGTCAGCTATAAAAATAAGTCTCCCTTTAGGAATGCGTTAAGGGCTCTCTGATCGGAATAAAAACATCCCTAATGGTCGCAGATGTTACAGCCATTAGAGCATGAAGTATGATGGAATTTTTAAGTAGAATCTTTTTGCCAGGTAGAATGAGTCCATTGTTGCGCTCTTCTTTTGTAACGTCTGTAAACTGAATTCGCAAAATTGTGGACGTTTTTCCAAGGAAAACCTTGAAGACAATCCATTTTCTGAGTTGTATAACTGACTTTTAAGGTAACAAATTTAGTCACGGTTGATATATAGCTGTAGAATGCTTTAAACAGATATATTTTTGGTTGGGGTAAATGCAATTGGGTTTTTTGAGAAAGATTTATATAGAATTCTTTCATATGATAGGATATTTTCAAATACATTAGCTTATATGTAGATCGGACATATACCATTAATTAGTTAAATTCTTTAGTTAAATGTCTTTAATTTAAAAAAAAAATCTTTTGTATGTGAAACACATTTTGCAAAGGACGCGTTTGCCAGTCTCAATAAAATGCACATTTGCACTCTGGTAACTCTGATGGCCATCTGTCAAAATGGAACTAACTGTTAATCCTAGATCATAAAATCTCGCAGATTGTAAAGGAGTTTTCAAGGGCAGCCATAATACTAGCTTAACATATTTTTCGCAAGGAAAAACCTTTGCAGCTGCGCAAACCTCTGGTTCTACCTGTTCATACCTGCCGCAAATAGATCAAAGATGCATACTTTTCATAATTTTGTAAATAAAAATGGCAACGTCGATCCAAATCGCATGCCAGTTCAAGACAGTACGGAGACGTGGCCAGAACAAGCTCTAACAGCAGCTTACAGAAAGCCAAATACACATCACCTGAATATTCAGCCAAATAATCTGAGTCAAAATAATTTTCTGCCAGTTCTGCCCGTTGCACCTGCGCCCTATTCATTTTCATATCAACAGTTTTTAAGTCAATTCGCACCGAATCTGGTGCCCTACTATTATACATTAGTGAATCCGCCTCTTAATTATAACTTTAACTTAGGCTACCACCAGAGTGTGGCACCTACGATGGACGTCGAGAAATATATCAACTATGAGCTCAGCAAGCAGCAGAGTTTGATGCGGAAACACAATGTGCAAACGCGTCCACTAGGACAGCTTCAGTTGCCAGTTAATCGACAGTTGTTGATACCCAAAAAGGAGCCACAGGAGCGGCGGATCATCAACGTCCAGGTGGTTTCCATGTCTGCTGCCAACTCGCGGGCACGCAAGTCAGATATAGATCCATTGCCTCCTGTTGAGGCCTCGTTCAAGGAGCGTGTGGCGAAGATAAACAAAAGTCAACATCATTATACGCAGCTCTTCGATCGACTGACTAGCATGCTGCAGACGTTAAATCGACGCTACGATGGCAATGAACCAGAGCCAGAGCCAAAGGTTGAGTTTGATGAAGCACCTCCGCCACCCAAGAAACGCGCTCGCCACGACATATCCAGCAGTTCGAGCGAATCTCATCAGGAGACGGAGCATACCACAGTAACCTCACATTACCCGCAACGCGTGCAGCTGGCAGATGGCAGTTCGGAGTACGTGCTGGGCCCCAATGGCACGCGCATCAATGCCAAGGCATATGGCCAAATATGCTGGACAAGTGCACCCGTTGCAACACGCTGTTTGCTGGCAGCCGTCTTCAGCAACGATGATCTGGCCACGCATACGCTGACTGGCAAGCCGTCGCCCGCTTTCTATGGACGTGAGCGTCCAGCCAAGAAGATGCTGGACCAGAATCGAGTTGATGATATTGTTGTCAGTGTGCGCAATCGCACCGGCTGCAAGGAGCGTCATATAAGAGCCACCATTACCACCAAATGCGCCGATACGGCAAAGAAATACAAGCGACGCGCCAAAAAGGCGCTTAAGGACAACGTCATTGACGAATGATGGCAAGATAATATTGATTTAAATATGATATGGATGTGATCCAAGCAAATCAACACATAGATATAAGAGTCATTACAATAATTGTAGACATTCCAATGCGAATAAAGATGCTCAAGAAAAAGCAAATTTTATTGGTGCCATGCCTGCCACAGCCTTCTTCCTATTCTTTTTAATAATAACCTAGCGAATTGTGAAGATTACTTCTTTTTCGGATTCCAAGCCTCCACCTTTGGGGGCGTTGTTGTGTATGGCATATAGGCCTCTGTAAGAATATGTTAAATTAAGTTTTCGGAAAGAAGACTTGTTCAAACTTCAGAGTTACCCTTGGTGCCGGACAGATTTTCACTGTGATCCGCAATCCATTTGTGTTTTGGCCGGCAGCCATCGCGAATTGGTGGTAAATCGGTCTATAGGCAAGCAATACGCAATGAATATTTAATTTGGGACAATCTCACAATCGTTAAGCCCACCTTGTAGTGCATCCAGCCGTACCACTCGGCGGGTATTTGAGAGCCATCGTAGTCCATGTTCACATGTGGCGAGTACTCAACCCAGCGGTTCCTGCCATAGAAATAGTAGGGATTCTCATAGTACCTGTTTCCGTACTTATCTATGCCAATTAGCTTGCCCGTCTTTAGGTCATCGTTTCTGTTTGTATATTAGGATTTAAAAAATTTGCAAATTATATAAGATACCAATGCGCATAGGCTTACCTGTATAGCTTTAAATAAGCTTGCTTTAGTCCACCAGCATCGCGTATAGCCTGGAAGAGTCTGCCTAGGCGATTAATGCCTAGAAATTTTGCCATTCTACTTGCCATATTGAATAAATATAAGTAATTTTCTAAATTTCTGATTGAAAAACTTACGTGCGAAGCAAAGCAAAGTTGCCACAATGGTAAAATGTCTAAGTTATGGTTGTGCTGCCAGGGGTGCACACATTTCTATGCGGTGTTGGCTAATAACCCAAAATATTTTTAAAAAAGAATTTTCCAGCACTGCGTCTACATCTGTTCGGCGATTTGGTGTTTCGTGAATCATTTCACTGGATAAAAGAAGTAAAAAACATTTCTGTGAATAAAATACCATTCAGCATGGCTAAAAATACCTCAAGTAATGCATTCCGGAAAATTGACGTAGATCAGTACAACGAAGATAATTTTCGGGAAGACGACGGCGTCGACAGCGCTGCTGTTGGCCCAGATGAGAACGAAATCACTTCGCTGCTAACAAAAGGCAAAGGTGTCGAGGCGCTGCTCAGTGCTCTCCAGAATGCGCCCCTACGTTGTAAAAACCAAAACGTTAAGGTAGAGCATTGCGTCAACATGAAACACCTCAAATGCTTATCACAATTCTAATTCTAATTCAGGACAACGCCCTGAACATAACGTTGCGCGTGCTGTTATCAATCAAGTCAACGCAAATCGATCAAGCTATCGATTCGGTGGAGGAGAACGATCTGATCGACGTACTAATGAAATATATATATCGAGGATTTGAGACACCATCCGAGGGCTCCAGCGGGCATCTGCTGCAGTGGCACGAGAAGGCGTTTGCCAAAGGCGGCGTTGGCTGCATTGTACGTGTGCTATCCGATACCAACCGTGCTTAAAGGAAACATTGTTACAGGGACAAACAGCCGCAAATATATAAATTAGTCATAAATGTTGTAGTTTCTACCAAGGAAATTTCACTTGAGAAGCCGTTGTAAACACCCGAGCCGGAGCCCGAGCGCTAGTTTGATTTTGCCACAATTATAAAGACAAAAGTTTTCCAAATTAGATTTTAACTGGTATTCAAGTATTAAAGTTTTTATTACAAAACTGCCTAGTGTATTCCTCTAGCTATCAAGCAACGGAATCAAGGATAATCGTGAATAAAAAAATTATTAAAACTTGGATTAACTTGAACACAAATATTTTGTGGCGCAATTCAATCCAACTTAGTTGAGATTGGCTTTCAGTTCCAAAGATTTAATGAGTACAAATTTAAATAATTATTTAATCAACTGTTTCTGATTTTATTTGACTATTCAAAAATGTAATAGGTGCTTTGATTAACTTAAAACAAATCGATCACGATGACAGGCGAAGTCATCATCACACATGCAATATGGTCAAATGGGTTTTAACAAAGCTGATGAAGGAGAAATGCTAGCAAATGCTTTATATACTCTATGCTAACTCTGCGGATGACTCTTCAAATGCAGCGATAAGAAAACGAAGAGAAATGTTTAAAATTTATATATACTTAAATCTATTATAATATGGTCTGGTTTCTTAGCCCGCACTCAGAAATTGGTACCATGAATGAAATGTACTAATGTTCTGGGAAACATTCAACAAAGCGGAGAACATCTGTTTTAGATAGTAGCTGTAGTTGTTTTTTCAATAAATAGTGCGTTATAATTTTCGGGATTTGCCAGCCGTAACAGGCTCCAATGTCATATCTCTGATTGAGTCACTCTACCACATGTGAGTCTCGCGAATTTCACTAATAATATGATTCGCACGAGTGAGTGCCTGCAAAGGAGATTAAATATCAATAAATTAATCAACATTCTAAATTAAACAATGGTTTTAAGTCACCTTCAACATATCCGCTGCCTCTTTTCGGCGCACTGCAATGTGATCGGACTCGTTCAGCAGCGTTTCCGCCTTATCAGATTTATATAAATGGGTGACTAGCTCACTTTGCAGGTTGTCCTTAACGTAGTTAACCAAGAAGTGCATAATTGCCTTTGGTACAGAGTCTTGTATAGATTTGCGCACAATATAGAAGTACGATTTAATCAGCCGCTCTGTAAGATACATAAGAGATTAGTTTTTGAGAAGCTGATTGTTGGGAGATCAAACTAACCAATGACATCGCAATCCCTTTGTTCCTTATCTGTTAGTCGACGTGGATTAGCCAGAGCCGGCACATCAGGCAGCAGATTAACAGGCTTCAGTGGAGCTATATTATTATGCACAGGCGTATTGCTGGCCGAGTTCTCAATGCTGTCGGGACGATTGGGCGCGGGTGGTAAAATATTTGATAGCCAAGAGCCCGTTGAGTTTTCGGCAATATGATTCTGAAAAATAGTAATATTAATATTTTTATTTCAAAGGTTTGCTAAAGGGATAGCCAGTTGATGTCTAGGGGCTGCAGCTGTGGCGTGTTTGCAATGTAAACAGTTAACATGATTGATATTTGGAATTAAGAGATTTTAATGATTGCGATACTCGAATATAAGAGTTTTTGTAACTGTAACAAGAGGGAAAGCATTCACACCGACGCTTACATACCCTTGACCCATAAAGCAGCCCATAAAACGTTGTAGAAATCTATGAAAATAAAAGTTGGTTCAAACAAAGGTGCCAAAATAACTAACCAACTGGTGTGATAACTCTATATGATATATTTTTATACATATTTAATATGTTTGCTTGAAAATGAGCTGTAGAAGTTATGCAGTTCCTGATCATGGTAACTAATCACTCCTAATCTATCTTTACTTTATATGTTTCCAAATCTTTACCTGATCATGAGCATCATTTTGCTGCGGTTGTTGCTGTTGTGTTTGGACCTGTGGTTGTGACTGTTGCTGACCCTGTGTATTCGTGCTATGGGCGGAGACCTGTGGCGACATAGTACTACGTGATGTATTCGTCCGGCGTGACTGCGAAAAAGGATCGCTGTCGGTTTTAAGTAGACTGGGGACCAGTGCGGCTTCCTTGTGGAAATCGGGATGCTTGGTATTGATATACGCCAGTTCGATAGCCACAATATTCTCGACCATGACATTGGTGGCAGGCAAACGACAACGCAACAGCTGGGTCACCACATCAACAATCTTTTCATGCAGCTTGGGGAAACTGCAAAATGGAAAAGAATAATTGAGTAATTGACTCAATTAGGCAATTAACTTGACTTACCGCAGCATCTCTTGTTGCACCTCGTTGCCGCAGTGCTGCACAATGCGCTGCATCTCCTCGTGTATTAGCTCCACGCAGCGCAGCGAAGGTTCCTCTAGGCGCCGAATTTGCCGCTTCACCAGTAGCTCGAATGACACCTCGGGCACAAACAGCGCTGGCCTTGGACCCGTTGCATTGCGTATGGCCGTCAGAATGTCCATTTTGGTCAAGCCTGCCAGCGGGTGTATCGAGTCCAGTGTGCGCCCAAAGATCTCATGAAAGATGTAACACAGACGTGCACCGCCACACAGTTCTGTTGTTTCGATATTGCGCGCCGTGCCCTCAATTGTTGAGCAGTAGGCGCTAGAGAACTTTGTTATGATGTGCAACAGCGTTTGGCTCTTGTCCGACACATCCTCGCCGTAGGAATTAAGCAGCGATTGGAATTGTGTTGACATAATATTCACTCGAGTCTACAACAACAGGATAATATAATATACTAGAATATAGAGTAATATGTTTGAGTTAAACCTTCAGATCGGGCAGGCAGTCGCGTATGTGATGCATCAGCAGGCGATTCAGTGTCTTGGCTAGATAAGGTGTGCCGTTGCGTGTAGCCAGCGTGGGATATTTGCGCTGCAGAAAAGCCGCTTCGTCCTTCATTTGCTCATCGATGTCCTTCTTATCGATGATGTCCTGTTGTGAGCGATTCATCACACCAATGATGCCCAGTTTGACGGGTATGACACGTCCACACAGTATATCAATTGCATCGGTGCCGGCATCCATGAGATCCAGTTTGGTGACCACGGCCAGTGTGCGCCTGCCGTCGGGATCCACATCCTTGGCCAGCTTCAGAGCTTCACTGGTTGCCATGTCCGTATTGGCAGCGGTTACAGCCAGAATAATCGAATTGGGATTTTCAATGTATTTGACAACCAAATCCTTGATTTGTGCTTCAATATCCTCGGGCTGATCGCCGACAGGCACTTTGGTAATGCCTGGCAAATCGACCAGGGTCAGGTTGACCACACGTGTCGAGAATATCTTTAGATTAATGGGTTCCGGGCAGATACCCTTGTTATTGCCCGCCACACGCTCCGTTTCGTTCTCGATCTCGTGACGGATCTCATTGAAGTCCGTGAAACATTTCTTCGTGTGCAGAAAGCGGCCCCACTCTTCAGCATTAACAGTGCCTACAAAGCAGAGAATGAATTCTTAATGTTCGTTCATAATGTAACCTTTCTTCCTCTCACCATTCTCTGCTGAGCGATTCTCGCGATCGTCGAGTGGACAGTAAATCAGTTGCAGCACCAGCGGGCGTCGCGTGACAATGCCTGTGCCTCGTGGCAGAAACGAGCGCCCAACAACGCTCTCGATTACAGAACTTTTGCCAGAGCTCTGCAATCAAACACAAAAAACGATACAGTTTGCAAGAGTGTATATAATCGTTCTTATATATTATATCTGCTAGTGCAACAATGAAGTCAATGCTCCGATTAGCTTATCTGTAATCTACACTCGCTGACCACTCGATCTAGACAAGTGCTATGCCGGAGTTACTTAATATAAACGAGCTCTTAAATTGTACTTGGATATAAGTTGTTTAGTTTTGAAATCATTTTCTTTATTGAGACCTAAAGTTCATTGGGGTTTATGTTGCTCTAAAGTTAAAGTATTGCGGTTTCAGCTTTCAGCATTTCGTATCCATCTTTTGACTACGATTTCTTTGCTAAATTTGTTAAGTCGTTGCCGAACTCTTGCTCTTTTCATTTATTGTGCAACTCTTCATCAACTCTTGTTCAACAGAAAATAAAACCACTCTTAAGTTGAAGTACCTGGCCTATGGCTTTTAAATAAGATATAGAATATTAAGACATCTAAATTATTAAACAATAATAAAAATGCAATCGATCTAAAATTATTTCTGCTTTAAATTTGCCAGCTATTCCACAAAGATCTACTCAGGACTCTTTACTTTAATGCAAAGGTCGACTTTAAAAGCCCTCCATAAACATAGGGTACATTGGACTACAGCTACAGCTGGACTACAGAATGTAAACTTTAATCTGGCTATTAAGCTCTAATTACAGCTTTACCGATTATCAAAACCAACAAATTGAAACTGTATAACAATGTGTGCGTCATGTGTCTTTGGGTGTGTGTGTGTTTGTGTTTTGTTGTTGTATTTGAGTGTGTCAGAGCAGCTGCTTTTGTTCCATTTACTGTGCATAATATCGATTTTTCATATGGTTACAGAAGCTGCTGCGCTTGCAGTTTAATTATATAAACAATATCAAAGATATGACACAAGAACCATTTCTCAGCAATTGAAAACAATTTGTTGTTACGTGCCGGCATCGGCGAGGGCTAAACAAGAGCCCCGTTATATAATGGAAATATGTCAAATAGCGTTTGGCGTGCGTGCAAAAAATTGAACAGCTCCATTTATGGCCAGCTGTCGCTGTTGCTTAAGCATTATGAATTAATATTATTCAAGTGAACGCAGATTGGTGTTTGGCTTACCTGGCTGCCGAGTACAACAATTTGCGGCAATTGTATTGAGTCAGAGCCGACGGTGTTGAAGACATCTTGCAATTTGTTGATAACTGGAATAAGCGCTTCCATTTTTCAGTCAGCTGGCAGTAGTAAGCACGCTTTAGATCGCTCTCTGTCACAATTTGCACAACTATTTATTTACAGCCTATTTAAATTCTAACACATTAATACTACGCGTTGTTGGGGTTTTGATTGACGCGAGAGTGTGGTAAAAACTTTTTTGCAAATTTTGACAGGGCTGAACAAGCGTTGACCCCCTTTGAGTGTTGCCAGATCAATGAAATGAGGTATAGTGATTTTCATACGTTAACAACACTGATAAATTTAAAAGTTTGCAGTACAACTTGTAAAATTAATTGGATATACATTTTGATGAAAATATATATGTGCTAAATGTTGAATGGTGGGAATAGCCCAGCTTTGTACAAAACACATGGCAGCTTATATATGCTTAAGTATGGAACTCATACATTTAACAACTTTATTTGAATTTGGCGCGCCTTAAAAAGTAATCGATATCAACGATAGCAATATTGTGCCCGCGTTATGAAATTGTTTGAAATTGAAATTCTTATCTTATCATAGATGTCTGACTTGGTTTTAAAAACTGATTAATATAATACGAAATAAGTATTCAACTGATGAAATCGATATAGTCAAACGTCTTATCACAAAATGTTTTATTTTTTCAATTAAATTTCAATGAAGTGCATAAGGTTTCGTATTGCGTTCACTTCAAATAGAAAATAAACTGAAAACTAAAGAGAATTCAGTATGAAAAAACCAAAACCACAAAGACATCCGTTGAAGCCTCAATGTTCGATTGAAAAATTTAACAAAGTGGCAGGCAACAATAGATTGCACCAATCTCCATGCTTCATTCAATACCCCGGTACTTATCCGTTCTACGCTTTTATGGATTTTAGTTTTCTTTCTTCTCTCTTCTTTTTTGTTTGGCTTTAGACTGACAAACAAAATGTGTGTATGTGTGCTTCATTGTGCAAACTTAATGATATGGGCCCAGCTAGAGCTAGTACCATGTCCATGGTCATGTCCATGTCCAATACTCACACACATAGACACACACCACAATTCACAGCGCATTGTCGGCCCATCTCAATATATTCCACTTTGGCTTTAGATAAAAAACTGTGCATGAGCTAGGAGCAGGAACTTGAGCTACAGCTGGACTAGAGGCAGCAGCAGGCAGCCAAGTGGTCAGAGGCATTGCATACAAACAGCAAATAGCAAATAGAAAATAGAAAAGGGACAGTCGAGCTTCCCTCACAAGTGCTTTAGATTTGCATGTGTGTAAGGCAGCAGCGGTTACTGAATTCTCAATGGTGGGCTGTGGGCGTTGCCCCGATTTAGTTTGCTACACGAATTGGTTGGTAAGCAACCAAAGAGAGTGTGTGTGTGTGTGTGTATGCGTGAGCAACTCATCTGTCCATTTTATTGTTGTATGCATATCAAGGATACTCAAGGATACTTGTCGCTAGGCTCAGTGCATTTAAAATTTGATAATGGGCCAAAATGGCTTCGTACACTCAATAGAAAGCATTTTGACGTTGATTTGGCCTATTTGCTAGCAATTCACATTGTTAACTCCTTTGTGCCCAACTAATTAATTGAATCGATAAATACATGTTCAATGCACATTTGCAAATGCTTAGCCAGATTTGTGCTTGCCATTGCCAGCAATTGGACTGGCTTTTCAGTTGCACAAAAGAAGAATTGCCTAACTTAAGCAGCTTAAAGTGCCATAAGCTCATTAGGCTGAGCATTTGTTGATATAGTATAGTAGAGTGGAGTAGAGTTTTAGTATTCATATGAATTAAAGGATATGAATTAAAGGATATTATTATTATTGCGAGCTCTTAGTTTTTTTTGTATGAATTTAAAAGAGAAAAAAATGATTAAACAGAAAACTTATTTGAAGCTTTAGAACAATAAAAAAAGATTGTAAATTTAGAAATTTTTTAATAAAATTGAATTCAAATTTTTAATTTATTAACAATTCGTCGTACTTTAAGATTGAATATAGGAACTTGAACTGAATATTAAAACAAAGTGAGTTTCTTTTTTAGCTGTTGTAAAAGCTCTTTCAGAGCACAAAGAAATTATAATAAATAGCTAACTTCTTATTAATTTTACTTCACTTATCAGATTCGTTGAAAATTTACAAAATTAATCTATGTGCTTAAGCTTTAAGCCAATGTCATGAAATATTTCTAGCTGCTGCTGCTTAAGCGCATGACTTGTGCCCTGTTGAACTTAAAGCTTCCAATTAGCACAGGTTGGACAAACACACACAAACACCCCTACACACACAACCACACACACACACAAAGTGTGGAGTGAGCATATTTAAATATCTCATCAAATTGACATTGTTTGAGCAAGTTTTCCATTTGCGTTGACAACTTGCCGAAATATGCGCAATGCTGACGACATCTACATTCAAAAACTTCTCGACATTTATTGCGTAGAAATGAGAATGTCCTGTGCTTCTGGCTCAGCCTCAGCCTCAGCCTCAGCCATTGTCCTTTGCCCTTATGCTCTACGGCAGCTGACTATGATGCTAAATACATTCCAGCCATTCTCGAGGTGACTGAATATTAATTTGATAATTTTACGCTCGAATGCAAATTTGGTGTCGAGTCTTTTGCTCTCTAATTGACTGACGAATATTTAAAATATGAATTTCAAATGAAGCTCAACAACTGTCCTCTGTGGCATATCCTCTGCCCTTCATGCCGTGCTCCATCTTCTACTCCGAAATGCATAGATGACGGGTTCATGGGGTGATAGGGTTTAGCGTATAGGGTATATATAGTATAAGAGAAACAGAATTAAGCTAGTTTTGTTATTCTATAATTGGAGGAAATTGGCTTATATGCTATAGAGTTTATATAGCTTATCAGGTTCACTAGTCGTGCCATCTCTATGAACTATACGATCTGACTGATCTCGAAGACTATAAGAGCTAAGGACACCAAATTTGGTATGGGGGCTCTAGTAAAGCATAAACGCATAAGAACTATTTTCTTTTTTGGACACCTGCTTCTAAAATCCAAAAAAATACTAATGCAAAACCCTAAGAGATAGCTTCCCAGAGTTCAGGATATGTGCTCGTTGAGCATTCCCTTCCGTCTGGGTTTAATTATGTTTGGGTTTGTTTTTTGATGCTGATGCTGCTGATGATGAGGTAAGCGATAGTCGCTGCATTTAGCTGTTGAAAATTTCGCCAATGTCAGTGCATTAATCATTCGAAAGTAATTCAACGGATTTGCATGCGTTGCAGAAAACGATAATTTTCATCCATCATTTTCAAGTGTTTCCGCAGGATTATAATAGCCAGATAGACAGCGTGCACACAGTCAGAGCCACAGAGCAAGCATCCTGCAGCTAAAGCAACAACAAGTTCTGGCAGTCTGTGCTGTTGCCTTGCCTTGCCTTGTCTAGTGTGTGTGTGTGCTCATTATCCATTGTCGTCGTCAATTATTCTCGTAGTACAGCACTTGTCGAGCTGCTCTCTGGGTAGCAACCGCTGCAGCTTTTGCATTTAGTTGATGAGCTCGCCTTTTGGCGACCAGAACTTCAGCCTGCCCTGCACCAAGTCAGACAGACGCCGCATGCTCCGCGTGATTTATGTGCCATGCATTGCTCATTTTCTTGGCTCTTTCGTAAATAACATCGCTGAGCTGCAAGTTGATCAATCGCCCAACCGTTCAGTTCAGTTTGGCTCAGTGTTGCGTATTAATATTACGTATACGATATGTGCAACGGCCTGGCAGAGTCGGTTTGATTGTGCTTGCCCACAATTTGCAGCAATAATGAACTTTGATTTTGGCCCACTGCACTTGCCTTTGTATTGTGTGCTACACTAATGACTGTTGCACAGTTGGTGGCATGCCACATCAGCTTGGCTGGCAGTGTGGGCTGCTGGGTATTGTGACATGAGTTACGATAATTCACTTCGTTAGCTTGAGATGATCGACAACAATTGATTACTGTAGTTTTTTCTGTTTGAATAAGGAACGTTGAATAAATGAGCCTAGCTATAAAAGCTATGGCTTTCGGCTAGGTTTTTATTATATCTGTGCTCTCTTTATCACATTTATATATGTAGAAGATTAAGATCTACTCCTAACAGATTGGGGCAGAAAACTGAAAATCTAATAATAAATTAGTCTAAGTTTTGGTTTATGTTTATATGCCAGAGATTTAATCTGCAGACTTTGTTTATAAAAGATCTAGTTTTGGTTAAAATTTTTGAATTAATTTTTAATTAAATATAATTAAAAACATATTGAAATTATCTTCAGATTAGGCAAATACTAAAAATATAATTTTAATTTTAAATTTGTTAAATGACAGTTCTGAGTATTGTCTAGAAGCATTTTGTCAAGTTAAATAGAAATAAAATTTGTGAAATTTCATACTGAGTTATCAGCAAGTCAGTTTCGACATGTTTCTTGTTCGTCTGAATACCATAGTCAAGGCAAAAGTTGGACATTGCTAACCATGTGAATTGATTCTACATTTTTGATTATTTTTACATATTTCACACTCTGAATAAATAAAAATCATTTTCCGAACTCAATTTATGTCTACCAGGAATAGACTTGTAGCTCCTCTTATCTTCTCTAGCTCTAATAGTTTTTAAGTTTATTAAATCTGATAATTAATGAGCATATGTTTCATATGTTTATCTCAAAAGTAAATACTCTACGAAGACATTTTAATGAGTTCACAGAAGACACTTATTCCATGTTCCTAACACAAACTTCTACTTTTATACACAGAGAATAAAAAGTTGTCTATTAAGCACAGCAAAGCAGAAAGTAAAGCAGCGAGCAGCAAAGTAATTTAAAATAATAATTGCAAGTGCAAGTAGTGTGAGGTTTATTGCTTTTTCATATTGCTTTCTGGGAGTTTTGGCAAGATTCTTAATAGGAAAAATTATCGCACATTAGGCAAGTCATTAAAACGTCCAGCCGAAACCAATTTATGGCAATTAGCAACTCGAGCTAACTACTATCTAGCATCTGGAATATGAGTCGATTGGAACTTGCCCGACTCGCAGCAAGGCAGTGAGGCAGCCATCCGAGGCAAAAAGTATCTGTGATGTTTGCAAGTGTCGCTGCCAAGTCGTAGTTCACAATTAACTGGGCCAAAAGGCTGTGCCAAAATGTCAGATGGAAAATTATCAGGGCGTGTCACACATGTTTTTCCTCGCTTTTCATGTGTTTAATTGAATTTTCAGAAATAA